CTTCAACTCCAACTTCCTTGCAATGACACATTCTCCTCTTTAAAAGCATAAGGGGGTGTTCTATAGTGTGGATGAGAAATCGGGTGGTGTGGACTAGTCCACACCAAACCACTATGGCAGGGACCAATAGTAGTGTTCTATATTCCACACCATACCCTTTGATTCCATATATCCCATATACAATTTATAAAGTGATCTACACAATAGATCATAAATGTCTAATTTTGGCATTTTATATGATAAATAAATTGAAAAAGACATCGATAAATTAATATTAATCAATAAATATTAATTTTAATAAAAAATAGTAAAATAATTAAGAAATAAAAAAAAATATTTTATTGATAAAAACATTAAAAATAATATTTAAATAAATGAAAAAAAAAGTGGAGAAGGAGCACCGCCGGGCTTGTGCTAGAACTAACATTAAAATTAACATTAAAATTTATTATTTTAAAATTTAAAAATTAAAAAGAAAGAAAAGTATGTAAAAGAAATGTATTGTATCAAAATAGAGTGTGAAAATGTTGTGGACCGACCACATCCACGAGTAGGGGTGTTCATTATATGGTTCAAACCGCAAAACCAAACCGAAATTGCGGTTTGGTTTGGTTTATAACTATAAATGGTTTGGTTCGGTTTGAGAATTTTCTAAAATATGGTTTATAGTTTCGGTTTGGTTTATTGAATTTTATAAACCAAACCAAACCATAAACCGTAAATCGAAATTATATATATAATATGAATACATGATATATAAATGTTATATATAATATATCTAAATGGAATTTGTAAAATTATAAATATATAATGAACTCTTTATTTTATAACAAAATAATAAATAAAAGTTTTAAGTTTTAATTTTTAGGGGAGATATTTGGGCTTTCTAATTGGTTAAGCCCAAAAGAATCATAGAATGGTCCAAAGTCTTCAAACCGTATTAGAAACCGCACCAAACCATAATAAAACGTTTTGGTTTGGTTTGGTTTGTTTTCTATACCAAAATGGTTTGGTTTGGTTTAAAAATTTCTCAAACCGTATTTATTGGTTTGGCCTGAGATCTTCTCCAAATTGCACTAAATCAGACCATGAACACCCCTATCCATGAGATATATGCATTGTCAAGATTTTGGGTTGAAGAGGGGGACAGTCCATGATATATTGTGGACCAGTTCTGTCCACAATCAACCGAACACTGTGGCCATCCCGTGGTGTGGACTGAAATGAACCATCCACAAGATGACACAGTTTTAAACACCACCTAAATTTCTTATTAAACTTCCACAGAGTCACAAAGTCACTCCCACTGATGATATAAATCCTTTAGGCTGTGTTTACTTTGAAACAAAAGGTAGAGAAAGGAAGGAAAAGATAGGATTTTCAAACCAAATAGAGTTTTATGAATCAACTCACTTGCATCAAATCAATGTACATTCTATTACACACCTACATGGTAGTTTGGAATCTTACTATAGTGGCTAAAATATCACTACACCATTTTTCATCTATATATCAATCATATAAGTGATTCTCCAATGCTTACCGTTGGTTGAGATGCTTTAGGTCCATAAGGAACTAGGTCATCTTAACATAAATATAACTATGTTAAGATGCCTCTTAAACAAAAAGTCTCTTTCATCAATAGAATGATCAATACAAAGATATGGCTTTAAATGATCACATGAAATCAAGTTTCCAATGTTGTCTCGGGCATTAACTCATGAATGGTGGTTATTACCATAACCGAATATCTCGATAATGTTCCTTGCACCTTGTTTGCGGTGTAATTTCATTAATTTGCATCGGTGCAAAAATATGTGAATGCACATGATTTGAGAGAAAATTCTAATTTCTCCTTGTTTTAACTCTTATCTTATCTCGTTTGTTTGTTGTATAAATAAAATAAAACAAAACCTCAAAAAAATAAAGTGAAAGTCGAAGAAAAAAAAATGGACTACAAACAAATAGAACCTAATATGAACAACCTTGTGCTAAAATAACACAAGGTGAGATGGTTACACCTTTCTGGAAATTTTCAATTTAAGCAATAAGGCATCCTTGGGAGGAGGAAAAGGAAGACGCCATAGTGTGTACATCACATTGGATTGGAATTTGATTTTCAAGAGACAGGGCTGTCAAAATTTTGACCCAATCGGCCGGTCCGATCTATATGAACAATCCAGATCCAATCTGACTCAAATATAACAAAATAAAAATCCAATCCAATCCACTTTAATATAAATACCGGATCAGATTAGATCCAATCCAATACAACTAAAATAAAAAATATAAAAAAAAAGCACCCATTCTACTATGAAATTTCTCCATAGATGATTTGGCTATAAATCTTGGAGTCTGAATTTGAGAGTAGAGTCTGAATTGACATGCATTTTAGAGCAGGCCAGAGAGAGGATTTCAGAGCACCTCACTAAAACAAGGCATGCCATGTCAGCATGCCTCTCCTTTCTCCCCCGCATCTTTTCTATTTTGTGTATTTTAATTTTTTTTTTAATTTTAATTTTTAAAATTAAACAAAATAACTTAAGTAGACAATCATCCTTAAGACTTTCATCTCTCCTCGTTAATTCACCATTACCTCTCTCTTCTCTTTCTCATTAACTCCTTTTATTATCTCTTCTCATCATTCTAGCATTAACTCTCTCTCTCTCTCTCTAGGGCTTTGAGTCTACGTTTTGTGATGAGGCCCAATCCTAGCTCAAGTCTTAACTTAGGAAATTNCCCCAAGACCCCCCAACCAGGGGTAAAGGCGGGATTCAACCCGAAGTTCTTGCTACAACTAGCAAGAGACCTTACCAACAAACAAGCTAGTAGGCACCGCCACTTTGCAATACCCACAACGCCCATAATGGATCTATGGACATCAAATGGTCAATTTCCTAAGATTATGTTTGGTTGCAAAGCAAATTTATTTGCACTGATGCAAAGCTATGATGGTGCAAATGATTTTAATGCAAATTATGATTTATTTTTATTTTAAAATTTACCTTATTTTTTTAATTGTAGTACAAATGAAGTAAAATAAGACCTAAAACAGAATAAAGTGAAACCTAAAACAAAATTAAACCAGAATTTGCATTATTTTCATTTGCACTCCCAAGCATTTTTACTAGTGCAAATAAAATTGCACTACAACCAAACACAACCTAAGGCTCAGTTTGGAAGGACTACAAATACAAATATGTTTAGTACAAATATGTTTTTGATGATAACAAACTTATTGACAATACTAATGCTTTGTTATACAAATGTGCAGCTATATCAAATGATTCCCTCAAAAGGACTATCCAAGAAATGCAAATTGACTCTTATTGACAGGAAATTAAGATCTAGAGTCTACAATGTATTTAGATTTTATTAGGACTTGATGTAAGTCAAATGACAAGATGTACTACGTACATGGGCTAAACCTAAACCTATTTCGGTTTTACCACAATCATAGAGACCAATTGTTAAGTTAGAAAATTTTCTTAAGCTCTTTCTGGACTCAATACTAAACTTAACTACGAAAAATCTAAGTATTTAAACATAAGAAATTGACTCCAAAACCATAGAAGTCACCTACTTAATGTTTTAAGGTTATGACATACTCAATAGTCAATTATCTATGACAATCGAGACCGGTGTCACTTAGTAGTCAACAACCCACCTATGATAGTCAAGCCTGGTGTCACACTAGTTTTAACTAGTAACTGGTTATCCAATAGACAGTAATCAAGTAAGACAATTGAGACCGAGTTATAAGTAGTAAACTAGTAATCGACTACCAAGAGGTAGTAGTCAACTACCAAAGAAGAAAGATCCCCTCCTACAAGTAGTTGTTGACTACTTGTCCTATTATTCAACTACCTACTTTTAACAAGATGAAGCAATTGACTACTTGGTTGTGATAGTTGACTACTTCACGAAAAAAAGAATTTTCAACTGTATAAAAGCTCAACGGCTATTTTTTCTTTTAGTAGCTTTCAATGTCGTTAAAAACATGTTCTGAATGTTTTTTAGAGTGGATTGTTCCTCTCCAAATGGCTCAATAACACTCATTTGCTGTCTAAGCTTGATTCATATTATATTATATATACATGACTTTGGGCTAGAGAATTCAAAGGAGAAAATTAAGCAAAAGTTTGAAGAAAAAAGAGAGCAAAAAGCGAGAGAAGAAAAAGAATGCAAAGAAATTATGACCTAGAAAGAAGGGGGGGGGGGAAGAAATGCTGGTTAGATCTTGACCGATCATATTACCCATAATTGCCAAATGGGTAATATGATGATTTTCCAATCAATTCAGCATGACCCCTTAATTAAGGGTGAATGACTCACTTGCCATTTTAGTATAGAGAAGACTATTTAAATTGAATATTGTCGAGTCTCAATGGCATCCCAATTAATGTAATTTAAGAGCTAGTACAAATATTGTCAAACATTAGTACACCACTCATATTTGAAGTGGTTCTGGAATCCCAGCTGGGCCCATCTTGTCGCTCTCATCTCATCTGGGAGCAGAAGAAGCACACTCGATCCTTCTTTTATCATTTTATTATGTACTAGGGCCTAGGGGTAGGGCCCCTCGCGTGAATTCATTGAGACCACTTTTCTGCTGTCTATCGTCACCCAAGAATCACTCAATATATGCCCTGACTTCTCTTTAGTTGTGTCTGGGACCGAGCGAGGTGTCCCAATTCGTTGGCTTTGGAAGCATCAATTATAGTTTGTACTAATAGGGTTGCAGCTTATACACAACCCACCTATCTGCCTGTCTCATTATTCTTTGGTTTTATTAAGGGCTTTCTAAATTCTAAAAGTGTTTTGTGTTAAAAATCAAAAGTTAAAAAAGAAAGAAGAATACACAAGATTCAAATATTTCCTGTGTAGGTTGCTACTAGCATCGATACGACATCTTAGCTCCAATGTAAGGGTGGACTGAACTATAAAACTCTAAAATATAATTAGATAACTCAGCAAATTAAACTATAAACCAGCCGTACAAAAGCATTTCTTCCTTATTATAAATTATTTCCTAATTAAGCATGTTTACATTTATTATCTAACAATCAAAATCCTAAGATGGATCATCAGTTCAGAGCAAAAATGAAAGAAGACGTTCTCCGGCCAGCTGGCTAGTTATTGTCAACTTGTTGTCCAGACGGTGGAGAACCTCCGGCGAGAAAAGACGCAAAAAAGGACAAGGAATTGCTGGGTTTGAAAACCGGCACGGCGTGACCAGCTCCTCTAAATGTTGCAAATGTAAGCCCCTTGTATTCTTGGAACCAACCACTGACCTGCTCACATGCATTATAAAGTTGAAACTATATAATATATTATTATATCAGGAATCCTTCCCATTCCCATATAGTATAATAGTAACGAGAGAAAGGATTAGCTCATGAATTCTGTCTTACTAGTGCCATCAATTATTTTGCTCCACACTAGCCATACATATACATGCAAGTCATGAGAGATTAAGTGATTATGCACTTTATTTATGGCTGGTGTGGAGCAAAATGTTTAGTCCCACTCTCACATATAGTTTCATATATATTTAGCTAATTAATCCTTTTAATTTCTATGGTTATATACAAGGTGGTGTTTGGTATTTGCAGAGCAGTCCAAACTCCAAAGGTACCTACCTAAGCACCACATTGACATTTTGGTTTTATCGAGTTAAAATCATGTTTGGTTGGACTAGTTCAACTTAAGACATTAATTTCCTGCCGGGCACTGCATTCTACTTTGTGCCCAAAACAAATTTTTTACCCAATTGTACCTTGGACTGGACCTACCTATAAGAGATGATTGATAGTCCTTGAACCGGTTAGTGAACCGGTCCAACCAAAACTATATATGATCCCCATCGACACAAACTGACCTGAATGAATGGTGTGATAATTAACCATGCATCCAAACCAACTGGGTATCTTTTAATTTGGGGTCTACCCATAGAAATAAATTAATTGATATTGATACACATGCCTGCCTAGCTAGCTTCTTTAGTGCAAATTGTCATCATCGTCACATGAGATTACCTCCTTCTCGTGGTACCAAGGTCTCCATGCCCTAGTGATGGGTAGTCCCAAAGATATCAAACTGTATCTTGTGGACAATACAGGAACTCTTCCGTCCGTGTCTCCACTGTGCCAAAACAAGGATGATGAGGGAAGAAGTAAGTCCTGAAACGACGCTAGCTAGCTAGCTGATTATTTATTGTGGCAAGAGAAGAATGTACCTGTAGACCCATATTCTAAGTCCTGCTCCAATGAGCTTCTTGTATATAGGCAGAACAGAAGGCTTCGAGTCTGACCATCCAATGAATATATCATTGCTGCACCAGCACCCATAAACAGTTTCAGTACTTAACTTCCTGAGAATCCTACATTTCTAGGGTCACTGTAAAGGTCAATGCCTCTCTACTTTCCATGATACATGCATGAAGTAATCGCAAACAAGAAATGAGAGAGAGAGAGAGAGAGAGAGAGAGAGAGAGAGAGAGAATAACTTGCAGATGCTCCAGTTCTTGAGGATATGGCCATCACTGACATGGAGAGCCTTCTGAACATCGGGTCTGTTGTAGAAATTTTCTGCATATTTGTCAAGGCAAGGGTCGTAACCACCCATGATCCTTGGCATCTGTTAAAAACAAGTTCATTATCATAGTGTTAAAATTTTAGAAATACCCAACAGTCTAACCACATTTTATGAGAAAACCCAGCCTCTGTCGATTATGTGAGTTAAGGTCTTGGGCATCACTTTTACACAACAGGTCTGAAAAATTGGTAGCATGAGGTGTAAAGCGATGAATCTACAATCTGCTGCTCTCCATGACTCCAACAGACAGCAGTTGATGAGCAGATTGCAGATGTAACTAACATTGCTTTAGTATAAAATAATGCTAAAAGTATTCTGTATGGGCTAAGGATAAGAAAATTCAAATTAATAAAAAAAAAAATTCTACTAACCATCTTAGACATGGGTTTGAACATGACTTGCACTGAATTATCATCTGAACCTGTCGAAATATTTTTGCACACAGAGGTATAGAGGCTATAAATATCAATCTCCCTGTACTGCTTGAGTACTTCATCAACAGCCTGGGAGCAATTATCATTGCTCCAAGTATTGTTGCTGTCAAAGTCGCAGGTCTCTTTGATTATTTTGTGGGTTTCATCAGATACCACAGCATGACTCCAAGCGTAATCCACTAATCCTCGCCAGTCATCAGCATCAGATGTTTCAGGATTACCCAACTGTGATTCGGTCATGATTAATTAATTAGTATATATGAAAAACCATAGCCACCAAACTCTATGATAACAGAGAAGAAATGAAGGATAAACTGATAATTTTAAGTGAAATCGTTGTTAGGAAAATGGAAGTAGTATAATATTACAGAAGGGTATGCCCATCTGAATATATATATATATATATATAAGTTTCATGATTTAATCAAAAGGCAGCAAAATATATTATTAGCTCTTGATATTTCATTGTTTTGTTTCTGGTTGTGAAGTAAAGCCGTACCAAGAAACCCTTGAGATCAATATACAGATGAGGATCCTTGTTCATATCATAAATGAGCTCGGCCAACTCTGGGACATATTTTCCTGTTCATTCAAGCCATACCAAGAAACTGTATATAGGTAATTATGACTAAGGACATATGGTTCAAATAAAATGGATTCAGTAGTGAACTAGGAAATGAAGGTGGAAATTACCTGCATAGCTCTCCCCAGCAATATAAAAGCTTCTTCTTCTATATGATGGAAATTTTAAGAACCACTCGTGCAGGAAAGCAAAAGTATCTTTTGCTGATAATGGTGGGTCCATATAAAAGGCAAAGCATCAAGATTCAGAAAAATAAGATTCATAATCATATTGATCAAAAGTGGCTGAATAAGACTGCTACAATTCTATATGTACAACAGATCGATGTGTACACAAATTTAATTACAAGCATGTATATATGTAATGGATGATGGGAACTGTTTCTGGGAACCCATAAAAATGTATATGTCACATACATGTGCAGGCAGCTCTGTACTCACCTGTAAAGTCATCCCCCAGGATTTTATAATCAGTAGTTGTGTTTGAGTATGAAAAGCCAACTCCAACTGGAGATTCCAAGAATAACATATTTGCTTCTGCATTATGGACCCATTTCAGTATTAATTAGACATGTCAATCTTATGTATGCATGGTGAGTGTGCATGCATCATGCATAGTGGAAGGATGAACAAATGTGGGAAATATATAATATATGTTATTAATTTATTATATATGCATCTGCTATCTCTGTACATGTTTAAGTAGATTTCAGAACCTTTGTTCCATGAATAAGGATTGAGTTTAATCCCACGTCCATCTGTATCCACAATGAAAGGACCAATTTCTTGGGTTGCTCCGTATCCCACAGAAGAACACCCTGGACCTGAAACATGAAACAAGTTAAATGAATGCATGTCACCTAACAGAAGAGCAACAGTTTCAGCTCAAGATGATGCAATAATCCCATGAAACAACTTGACCAGGAGTTGTAAATGAAAAAGGGTGTATCATCCACCAGAAAGAAAAGAAATGAAGTTGTAATATATATTATTTTCTTCTATCAACTTCTATTAATTAAATATCAAAAGTTCATATGCTTGATACAGGGGGTTGTCCATGGACTGGCCAACAGGAAATAAGTGATATATTCTCCCTCAGCCTACCATTTGCAGACAATCAATATACCCTTTTTCCATGCTGAGGCTTCTTTAAGTTTTATTGATGTCCTTTCTATGCTACAGAGTGTGTCCTTTACCCTTTTTCTTTTTATGTTTTGAATGATTAAACTACCCATTCAATGTGATGCTGACTGTAGTACTGTTTATGCTATATATATATAGTATATACAACCAAAACCTGAAAGTTGAAACTCGCCTACCAAAAGTTGGTCAAGACTCATGAGGTTTGTCGAAATTTGCCTATACAAACTGTACTACTAGGCTTCAGAACCTGCAGCTCATAGAGTTAGACGTGACTACGGTCTCTTTACTTATCAGAGTGAAATCTATTTGATCAGCATCGATCGATCTCCCAAGTCCCAACTTGCAGAGAAAATTCCTCTAACGAGTGGAGACATTTAATCAAGTTGTTTGACTAGCCAATGTAAGTGGTGAAGATGTGGGTAGAGTTCATTATTCGAGTCTGGGTTGCAGAGCTAATAGGATTACTTACCTCCATTAAGCCACAGCACTAATGGCTTCTCATCAGGACGAACCGAGGCCTCGTAGAACCAGTAAAAGAGGGCCCTCCCATTCTTCTCGTTAACAGTCACATACCCAGCGTAGTGCCGGAACCCTACATCGGCAGGTTGGCCGGGCAAGTCGGTCACGAGATCCTGGCTAGCCAATAAATCCTGGCCGGTAGAATGCCACCATGGTCCATGTCTAGAACCAGAAACAGGTTCCAAAACAAATAACACAGAAAGAAGAAGAACCCCAGTGACAGAACTCATCGTCATCTTGATGAAAATGTACAATTCAATATCTCTGAGATGAGAGAACTCAAAAGCTTCTAATTACATACAACCCTCACACAAAATTCAAGATCTCCATGTCTATATATACCCACGTATGTGAGTGAGGAAGGTAAAGGGAAATAAATATAAAAATACAAAGAAATGATTTGTTTCCGTGTATGAAAAAATTTGTTTCCAGATTAGACGGCGGATTATTAAAATCATTAACGGTCAAAGAATCCTGCGTGGCAACTTGGCTTTTATTGGCTAGGCAAATTGTATTATGGCATCTGATGAGGATTTTAGTCGCTTCATCACAATTTTTTGATAAATAGGTTGCGTGAGTGGAACCTCCATTTTCAGTGTGGGTTGTTGAAATCATATTCATACGAACCCATATTCATGACTTACAGGAATAAAACCCTAAAAGGTTAACAATCAGCTTCCTGGTCCACGCATTATATGCTTAATATAACAACCATCCATCTTTACAGAAAGAGAGAGGAACACTTTGAGAGGACTAGGGCCGTTTTGTAACGGCTGAAACTGAAATGGCTGAACTGAATAACTTTTTTCTTTGTCTTTTGGTGGAGAAATAACTAAATTAAATGATAAAATAAATATCCAATGGTATCCTAATCATCCACAACTTCACCTTCCAAGTAGGGCTGGTCAATGGACCGGATATTGGTCCAATTAATCCAATCATGTTCAGTATGAGTCCATTACAAATGGATCAGGTCCAATCCAATCCATGGAATACTTAATTTTGGACCATTCAACCATTCTGGACTGGTCCAATCCAATGTCTGGACCGTCCAAACTGTTCAAATTGATTGGTTTTAATTTAGATTGGATCCAACCCAATCTGGTCCATTGACACTCATACTCATATCTTATGTGTTAACGGACCAGATATATATTGGTTCAATCTGACCTATAAGTTTAATATAAATCGGTTATAAATGGAACATGTTCAATCAAATCCAATAATGATTTTGGACTATTAAGCCAAGTCTGTACAGGTCTAATTCGATATGTCTTACTGGTCCGTTCAATCTATTCAAATTAATTTTAATTCGAACGGGTCAAACCCAAACCAGATCCATTAATGAAACCCCTACTTTCAATGAGCTCAATTACCTCTCTCTATTCCATTGAAAGACAAAGCAACAAGTCATGCAGTTCAGCCATTTAAGCTGTTTACATTCATTAGGGGTTGAAGTTGTCAAACAAATAATGCTTTTTAGGTGTAAGGATGAACCTCTCATAACTGGACTCTTTTCCCTATATAAAACCCTATCTTTCCAGGATCTGTGAATGATAATTCCTTCTCGCCATTTTTGTATGAAGTTTGTAAAGCCGTCCTCCATAGACCAACATACAAATTAAGAGATACCAGTAAGAAACGCTATATCATCCATTACCTATTGATCATTGCTCTTTAGACAATGTTGGACCTATGAAAGATCATGTAGGTGGCGTTTGGTATTGTGACATTAATTGTGCAAACGATGCAGAGCCATTTCGCATCCAGGGGCGTTTCCACTTTCTCTATCTTATGCGGTGACTAATAGTGCTTTTTTTCTTGATTTTAAATGTTCTAAATCAAGTACAAACACAACCAAACTCCTTACAGTACCAAACACAATGACAGTGAGTGTAGGGTGAGAAGTTTCAGCTAGAAGCATAAAGCATGCATTGTTTAAAGAAGCATATATTGTTCTTATTTTGGGGGAAAATGAAAGAAACACTGCCATCTTATTGCCTTCTACTCAAACATGTTCTTAAAAATTATACATTAAGGCACGTTCGCTTTTTGGTAAATTATTTATCCTGGTAAGTGCACTTACCTGGGTAAGTGCTTCCTAGGAAAGATTTACCTGGACAAGTGCATTTACCGATGTTCTTTCATTTCCCATGTAAATAAGGCAATGATCATTTTAGTCATAAAAATCAATTATTAAAAGGGGGTATTTTTGTCCCATTCAAGTGTTGGCAACTTTCTCCCTATGTGGGAAAGTTATTTAGCCACCTAGGAGATGGGTATCAATTAGACCTGTTCATGGGCCGGGTAGCCCGACGGCCCGGCCCGGCCCGCACCCCGGCCGAGCTTGGTCATATAATTAGGCCCGCGGGCCTGACCTCGGGCTTAACACAGTAAGCCCGACTGTGTTTCGGGCCGGGCTCGAGATTTGTCAAAAAAGCCCGGCCCAAGCCCGGCCCAGCCCGACTCAGTATTATATATTTTATAAAATATATATATTTATAATTTAATATATATATTTTATTCTTTTCTTTATAATTTCAATCTATCTCTCTCTTTATTCAGCTGCTTCAACATTAATAGTAATAATAATATAGGCTAAATTTCGGTCCCAGGCCCAGGCTCGGGCTTCGGGCTTTTTATGAGGGCCAGGCTCGGGCCCAAATTGTAGGCCCGATGGTCGAGCCAGGCTCAGGCTCGGGCCTTAAAAAAATTTGTTAATACACAGTAAAAGCCCGGCCCGAGCCCGGCCCGAGCCCGGCCTGGCCCGGCCCATGAACAGGTCTAGTATCAATTATACGAGTAAGTGGTACCCAGAAAAATAAAGTTTCCCTAATCTCCACATAAATCTGAAAAAAAAAAGCATGGGATTCTTGGTCAATGGGAACCAAAATACCATTGACCAACTTTCCCCTCTCTCAAAATCCAAAAAAAAAGAATGCCCCCTAAGAGTTATTTTCATATTTTTCTTCTCCATAAACTGTGTTTTTTTTCCTCATTTTCAATGTGCTAAATCAAGTACAAACACAATCAAAACACTCGCCACAGTAACAAACACCATGATAGTAAGTGTAGGGCAAAATGTTTCAGCTAAAAGCATAAAGCATTGTCTAAGGAAGCATATATTATTCATACTTTTGGAGTAAATGGAAGAAACACTGCCATCTAATTAATGCCTTCTCAAATATGTAGTGTACTTATTTGCATTTGCATTACAAACAAACGCAGCCCTAAGTACAAACACAATCAAAACACTTGCCACAATACCAAACACCATGATAGTGAGTGAAGGGTGAAAAGTTTCAGCTAGAAGCATTAAAGCATATCGAGAAGCCTATATTATTCATTTTTGTTTTGGAAAATGTAAAAAAACTACCACCTTATTGCCTTCTCCTCAAACATGCTCCTACAAGTTATTAAGGAATATTATTTTCATATCTCCTCAAACTGATTTTATTCTGATTTTCTATACTTTAAATCAAGTACAAACACAATCAAAACACTGGCCACAATACCAAACACTATGATAGTGAGTGTAGGGCGAAAAATTTCAGCTAGAAAAATAAAGCATTGCTTAGAGAATCATATTTCCCATATTTTTTTTGGGAAAATGAAATAAACACTGCCATCTTATTGCCTTCTCCTCAAACATGCTCTTAAAAAATTATTAAGGGTTATCTTCATATCTCCTTCTCTTCAAACTGATTTTTTTCTTCTGATTTTCAATGCTCTAAATCAAATACAATTAAAACACTCACCACGATAGCGAGTGTAGGGCGAAAAGTTTCAGCTAGCTAGAAGCATAAGGCATTATTTAGAGAAGCATAATGCTCATAGTTTTTGGAAAAAATGAAAGAAACACTACCATCTTATTGCCTTCTCCTCAAACATGATCTTTAAAAATTATAAGGGTTATTTTCAGATCTCCTTTCCTGACTCATCCAAATCTGACAATGCTCACTTTTCATTAGTTTTAACAGAGTAGATATATTTTTTTGGTATAGTCAAGATAAGATAACTAGGACTGATATATATACTAATTAATTGGTAATCAAGAAAAGACATAGACCATATGCTATGCTACTATGCATACACATAAATAACAGATTGATGAATATATACTTATTATATACCCAAGTAATGGGAGAAGAGAAGCTTTTGGCTGGTCAAAATAGACTTTTTAAGCATGACAAATTGGTTTTGGATTATTTTCTTTTACTTTATCATCAGTATGACTAACTAACCAAAAATCTATGTGAAAGCCTTCCTTAGGTTCCTTTTCATTTTTTTTTTTTTTTTGTACGTGTAAAAATTAAAAAAAAAAAAATCCAATTTGACCCGACAGCCTTCAAACTAATGTGTCTCTGAACTTGGACTTTTTATGAACGGATTCATGATGGTGATGGAGGTATAAAGGATGGCCCACCGCAAATGCTCCAAAGCCAAAGGGATGTTGAGGCATCATCCATCTATTGCTTTGCACTCGTGGATCATCATCCATCACTTGAGTGTGATGTGCCGTGACCCAAAGGGATTTTCTACTGTCTAGGTAAGATTTGGATGGCCAAAAATAAAAGATGAACCAACAATCACTAGAGAGAGGTCAATACAATAAGGAAGAGTTAGGGCTATGAAGTGGGCTGAATAGTAGGGATATGGCCCATCCAATAGTGCTTATGATCATCTCTTCTATCTGATTACTAGATGACAGGCCATGTAGTAGATTGGGATATGACCCCACAACAAGACAAAACTAGTTCCTTTGAATTGGGTACTTGGGACATTTTTTTTTTCTTTTTGGGTAGGGAGTAGGGACCTAGAATGGATTTTATTAAAACAGAGCCACTTAAGGCCAGAATACCAGCATTCAGCAATACAAAATTAAGGCGGGAAGATCGCCTGGTAAGTAGACCTGTTCATGGGCCGGGTGGCCCGATGGACCGGCCCGGCCCGGCCCAACTCCCAAACGGTCTTGAGCATGCTTATAGGCCTGCGGGCTTAAATTCGGGCCAAAAAGCTTGGCCCGCAATAAATTTGAGTCGGGTTCGGGTTTTGTCAAAATAGCCCGGCCCGGCCCGACTTAATATTAAACTTAAAATTAGTTATGTGATTATGTCCATTTGAATAAATTTTTTGATTTAAAAATGTAAAATTGTGTTTTAAAATATAAAAGAAAGGGAAAAATACCATCTTGTAGGCCCATTGTTCATTTAAATAGAAAAAAAAATACTATCTGAATTTTTAATTCTAATTTGAATAAGGAAAATTGTTTTTTTTTTTTTTTCAATT